AGCTCTCGTCTGGCAGCATTACCATCGACTCCGTACCTCTTACCCGCATTCCTCGTCAAACCATCCGCAGTCGCCTCATCGGCCTACCTCAGGACGCTTACCTACTGCCCGGCTCGATCCGCCTTAACGCCGATCCTTTGAGAGAGTCGAATGACAAGGCCATTATGGCCGCGCTGAAAGATGTCCAGCTCTGGGACATCATTGTGTCCAAGGGCGATGTCGACAAGTACGCGCATCCGCTAGATGTCGAGGTTGAAGACCTCCACTTCTCGCACGGACAGCGCCAGCTCTTCTGCTTAGCGCGCGCCATGCTCAAGAAGGACAAGTCCACAGTGGTCGTCATGGACGAAGCCACCAGCAAGTAAGTCATCGCACATCCCATCGCACTCTCTCGATACTAACAACGACGCTTAGTCTCGATGCTGCAAGCGACGCTCATGTCCAACGCCTTCTTCGCTCTCGCTTCCCACACCATACCCTCATTACCGTCGCGCACAAACTCGACACCATACTCGACTTCGACAAGGTCGTCGTCATGAACAAGGGCCAGCTCGTCGAGTACGGCTGCCCGCACAAGCTGTTGGACCGCCAAGGAAGCTGGTTCAAGAGCCTCTACGAGGATACCGCACGAGGAGGAGACGTAGAGGACGACGATGACGATGACGCGATAAACACCGTATCGCGATAGGCACAGAACTGAACATATACATAATGATAATGGGGTGACGAGTTCATTTCTTTGCACATATGTCTGCGGGTATACAAAACATTTCCTTTGTCATCACATCGTAGCCAAAAGGCGTTGGGGTATAGCAGACTGTGTTTATTTGTTTCCACCTCTATATTTATGAAGAAGCCAAGAGGTCTTCATGGTATCATCAGATGTTAATCACACTTTCATAATAAATACAATCATACTCCAAATCCTCCACAGAAATCATGACGCACGTGAAAGCTCCACCACAACCTCCTGGCCTTGGTTCCTGAAGCCTTGTATCAACCAATTCTTGATACCGGCGATGACATTCTCGGGGTTGCCATCGACAGTGTACGCCGCCACCATGTCGCTCTTGATGTATACCAGACGGAGGTACTTCAGGGACTTGTTGTCGAAGATGGATTTCATCCCGTACTTTCGAACAATATCCGCAACCGACCTCGTCACCCTTCTCTTAGCCCTCTCAGGATCCACCCGTTCTAACTCTTGAAGTTGCCTCTCACCGAACATCGAATCTGTAACCGTTGACGTATGCAGAGTGAAAGTCATCTCTTGTAGCTCAGGCAGACTTGAAGCGAGAGCGAGATACGGGTTCGAACTTCGGTTATCGGTAATCCCGGAGAACCAGTGAAAGCCGTTCATGTCGACTTTGAGGATGTTCTTGTCGATGTCGGGAAGGACTTGCAGCATATCGCCGATGAAGTAGGTGTCGGTGGTAGAGGCGACGGTGAAAGTCAGAAGGCGGATGTAGGGAAGGACGGTGTTGTTCCATTCTTCTTCCTCTTTGGCGTTGAAAGTGATGCCTTTAAGGAACTGGGGGCGACCGGGATTGGCTTCTGGTGTACTGGACTCGGCGGCGATGTCGACGGTGAAAGGGCCTAAAGAGATGGCACAGTTAGAGTTGGTGGATACAATGAGGAGAGTGAACTTCATTACCATTGCAAAGGATGTGCCAGACGGCGATGTTGGCGTCATCGGGTACACGGACATGAGCCAATCCGTGGACTTGAAGGTTGCCAGTGGTGTTGGGGTTGTTGGAGCTAGACATGATTATTGTGTGTATAGCTTCTGGGTGGTGGTTCCGATATAGGAAGGAAGATGATGATATAGCGAGGTATGTCAGGCGGTGGAGCCTTGAGGTGTAGGTGAGGAGTCCAAGTCTAGTGGGGGTAAAGGATCCTTATATATGGCCCTAGTCCGAGACACGAGCTCACCTGCCATGATGTCCTTGTGACAAAAGCGTTTGCTCAAGGTAAAGGAGAAGGCCAAGTCAAAGGCGAGGAGGACACTGATGACGCGATCGATATATGACCAACGGGCCCATATCCAGTATAGTTGAGAGTGTGAGAGCGATGGTCCACTGGCAAACGCACACTTGAGCCCTCTTTGTACCCGACTTAATCAGCAATTGCGTTCAGTGTGCTCATGAGGATCTATCAGTATATCAAAGAAGACGTCAGGGGCCACTTGCATGTGAAAGAATTCTCTCATTGCCGTTTGTATCCTCATTCACGTCAAGTCAGGGGACTACATCAGGTCCAGTTTGACATAGAATCGGTGCGGCAGCGCTCCGCAGAAAATGATGCATGCGACTGACTATAGCAAACGCTATAAGAAAGCCGGTTATTCACAAACGTCCGAGTATCGGTCAAAGCTCTGTCTGATATTACGACAAATCTTGCATTGAGGAGACTGTGGTTTAGAGACGTAGCAAAGTGAAGGATGTGTGCGAAAAATGATCTGAGTCAAATGCGTTCTTCAAGTGTCAATGTCGGTCCCTCCATACGACCAACTAATAATTACCGAAACTATTTCAGCAATAAACTTTGGACCTAACACAATCTTAATGTATGGTGTTGTTCGCGGAGTAATCAAGACGGGCGGCGGGGTATTATCTGACCGGCTAAACTTCGCTGCTGACATAATCCCGGCCGTGTCCGTGACGCGACACAACACTCGGCGTTGGAAAGATCGTCGGGATGCCCAGAGTAATCGCGGACTCGTTTCACAGCCCCGGGGCCGTCTCATATTCCAGAGCGCGCCCTACAAACCCATGAACACTCTCACGATGATATCCAGCTAACGATAGGTATCACTGACTTCTGCAGCTTGCTCCTTGCGTCCTTTCTCTTTGTTACCGTCGCGCCATTGGCATGCGCGTCAGCCACATACCCGCCCCCCTTCGTTCCTCCCGCCGTACGTTGACGAGCTATCGCAATGGCATTACACTTGGATCTACCACGAGAATCCCTCGAAGAAGACGAAGCCCTCTTAACCCCGACGGAACCGGACTTTCTTCCACCGCACAAATCGACCAAGAAGCCATGGGTACTCCTCGTAGTGCTCATCTTCATCATCGTCGCAGTCGTCGATGTGGGTGCCTACCTTGCCGAGCCACCTCTGACACGTCTTTTTGAGGAGAATCTATGTCTCAAGTACTACCGCGAACAAGACCCTTCGGTGATCGATGGCGACGGAAGCATACCAGAGCAGATGTGCAAGGTGGATGTGGTGCAGCAGAGACTCGCCACCATTTTTGGTTGGCAGGACATGTTCAGCGCGATACCGGGCATTCTTTTGGCCGTGCCATATGGCACCTGGGCAGATAAAATAGGGAGGAAGTGGATCGTCACAGCAAGCTTGGTCGGGTTGGACCTTGCCTTCGTCTGGGCGATGATCATAAGTAAGATGGCATTGCACAAATCATAGCTACAATGCTAACGTATGGCTAGCCTACTTCAACTCTCTCCCTTTACAGTTGACGTGGTTCTCAAGCGCCTTCACGATCATCGGCGGCGGTCCAATCGTAGCCATGGCTATCGGTGTAACGATGATCTCCGACATCGTACCTCCAGAAAAGCGAACGACGGTCTTCCTATACCTGACGGCCTGTGTCCTTGTTGCGGAAATGCTGGCACCGATAATGGCAGCGAGGCTGATGGAGAGCGGGAACTGGCTGCCTCTGCTATTGTCACTAGCGATACAGCTTATGGGGGTTGTTGTGGCTTTGTTCGTCCCCGAGACGCTGCACCTGCGCGATCTGCCTGAACCCAAGGACAGCGGAGATCAGGTCTTCGAGCTACAGCCCACGCCTACAACCAGCCACTTTTCGCTGCGAGCACAACTCCGCAACTTCCAGGATGCAGTGCACTTCCTGAGGAGCGATTGGACCTTGAGCCTGGTCGTCCTTACGTTCTTGGCCAATAGACTGGGCAGACAGTGCATCTCGCTCTTGGTCCGTTATGCCTCGAAGCGTTACAACTGGGAGATCAAGAAGGCCGCCTACTTGCTCTCATTCCGCGCAGCCACCAACTTGGTGGCTGTCACTATCTTGATCCCACTAGCAAACTTCTTTCTCTTGAAAAAGCTGCGTTTCCCTGCACACTGGGCCGATCTGTGGATCGCACGCGGATCCATAGCTTTTACTACCATCGCCTTCTTCGTCATGGGTATTGCCGCACATCCTTCTCTTCTGATCATTGGGCTTCTCATTTACAACATGGGAACTGGCTACACCGCTGCAATGCGATCTGTTTCCATTCATGTTGTGGGCGGTCAGTCGAGCCCTGATATCGGCAAGCTCATGAGCACCATTGCGATTGCAGAGAGTGTTGGCGCCATGATTGCCGGCCCATTGCTGAGCGAGCTGTTCCAGGTGGGTATTGGTCTTGGCGGCGCCTGGCTTGGTTTACCTTTCTTGACCTCCGTTGTGGTATTCGCGTTCATGACTGTTGTGACGAATTATATTGACGTGGGGGATAAAGGGCCGTCTTATGTGCCGGTGCATGACGAGGACGAGGAAGAGATACGCACGAGTGCGCTGAACCACGAGGAACTCGCCAGGCATAGAGACATGCCATGATCATGATATACAGGCAGACTACCTGACCCACATTTAGACAATTCGACTTCTCATGCCCGATTGCGAAGACTTTCTTTTCAATTTGGGGCACATGCCATCTTATCGAAATGGTAATATCTTCCCGGGAAGGCGCGTTCCAGAGACAGCGGTATCTCCTGCCATGCGAGGCCTCAAGTCGCCGCTTCTTCCACAGCATAGGCAGTGACGTACAAGACTGCAACTGCCGCAACAACCTTTGGCTGTTGTGCCTTTCTTCCCACATGTCCGAATGCATCACCTCTCATACCATACCGTTGGCCGCGCCTCATTACCGCTGTTTCTGCTACATGCCGTCAACACGTCCTTAGCACTGCTTCGCTAAGTTTGCCACACCCTCTTACCCCACTACTTCAGCAACCACAGTTTTATCCTGCCACTCCGATGCTTGCCCGTGCGAATAGCGATGCAGGTACTCGACTCCGCCGGTCTAAGTCTGCCTCGACTGTCCACAAACGTCCCACTTCCATCGCCGAACCGCTGGATCTGGATACGATTAAACAACAGGCTCTAGCTGCAGCCACTGCAGCCTTTGCTCGTGCGCAGGCTCAAGATGCGGCAGACCGTAACGCAAAACGCAGTGCCGAGCTGGCGAGATCGAAGAGCAACGCCAGCCGCAAGTCTCTCACCTCCCAGGGCAGCCACTTCCCACCTCGCGACTCGAGCTTGCGGTCTTTGCAGCGTCCGACTGCCGAGCAGACGAGAAGTGCACAACGCCTCTCACAAGCTTCAGCAGAATCTACGGAACAGAACACAGAGCAATTCCCGCCCTTCTATCCTACTCCCAGCGTCCATGGGTCGCTTTCCATACCGCGGTATCTATCGACGCAGCCTTCGATCACGTTCAGCGAAAATGCAAGACCTAGTTCCCAGCCAAAGTCATTCCGACAGAGTGCTTCGTCGTCAATTACCTCGCAGCAGATACGTAAAGCGCGTTCCATGTACTACGCAAGCAGTGTTCAGACGGGATCACCGATTGCTCGGCCGCCGTCCAAGTATCTTACAACGCCACCTGTAGCAAGCATTAGCCCGGTATCAGAACCCTCGCCCATACCTCTACCCTCTCGAACAATTCGGCCGTCACCTCTGGCAGGCCTGCGTATGCCGGTCACAGTCGGACCTGACACTACGCTTGACAAAGTACGAGATGAGTATCTACAAGACTTTCAGCAGAAGGCGGTGAAGCACAAACCGTCGATGTTTCTAGCGCCTTTCAAGAAACGACAAGACAAAGGAAAGGACAAGGGCAAGCGTGTCGCGTCGGAAGCGCAATCTTTCTCTACGGATTATCAGCAGACACCTGACGAGTCGACAGCGGATCTTGCCTTGAGCGACTTCGTGCCACCCCAGGAAATCAAGGAAAAGAGATCATTCTCCGGGTCTCTCAAAAGCAAAATTAAGAAGGTCTTCCGGCGCACGTCGGGCAAGTCCACCAATCTTCCTGTCCAGCAGATCGATGCCAGCCGCGACTACTTCCATACTGCGCACTACAGTCCACCCACTGCGAAAGAAGGACTGAGTATTCCTCCGCCTTGCGAAGAAACATTGAAACGCATTCGTGCTCGGACACCGTCACTTGAAGGCGCTTACCCCGCATTCCTACGATCTGGATCCAGAAGTAACAGCACTGGAAGTGCACGGAGTAATCGGAGTCTTCATAGCGAAGCTAATGCTGCGAACGTATCAGCTTCTCGAGTTACAAGTTGGGGAACTACTACCACCAGCGACACGCTGACACAACGTGCCATGAAGCGAATGACCGTTATCCATGAGTCTAAAGATAGCATTGGGAGCGAGGCAGACCGTGCGGCATCTACAAGTGCTTCGAGAAGGAAGTCTCTGCCTCTCCCACCTCTCGCCGCTTTCCGCGACCCCATGCCCATGGAGATCCTCACCGAAGAGTCACTTACGCCTGTCGATCCCAAACGCGTCTTTTCTGCATTGATGAAAGAGATAGGATCGTCAAAATCACAAAAGTCTTCAAGCCCGGCCAAACGAACACCAGGCGCAGAAAGCGATGTTTTTGAGTCCAGTACTACCAAGCTGTTCTCTCATACACGAGAGTTGCATTCCAGTGGAAGTCGAAACCTTCGTAGCAGTATCGATCTAGAACAGCGACCACCATCACGACGACCGGCCACATCCCAAAGCACTCAGAGCAAGACCAGCACGATCAGATCTTTTGGACGGGCGATCAGATCCACCATCCGCACAGTCACACCCATCGGACAACACTCATCTCCTGATCCAGGCCTTACCGGTCGAGTGGATGGCACGAAAGGAGTAAATCGAAGAGAGGAAACGATGCCTTCGTCGGGCAGCACGCCCGAGTCTGATGATACACAGACCGATAGTGATGGAGCTGAGCGCAATTGTGCCGTTCAGATGTTTACTCCAACGACATCGCAAATTGAGAAGCGCGTAGAGAGAGCCAAAGACCGTTGGAAGTCTCCCCTGGACGAGGCAGAGCATGTCCAGTTTCCGCGTGAAACTGGCAGAACTTACGATGTCGCAACGTTCGTTCAAAGGACTGATGACTCCACGAAGGCAGCTGTTCAAGATGACAAGGAAGTTGCACTGGGCGCTCGTGGCATGGCTGGTCAATTCCCACGGAGGCTGCCCGTTTCACCCAGAGTATCCGTGTCACCAGCTTCTCACACTGTCATGACGCCAATGTCTCCCAGCATCTATTCACGAAACACAGATGGCGTCAGCATCCTTCCTAATGACAGTGTCATGTCTTTCGGAGGGCCTGGTGAGGTTGAGCAATCTCAGGACGGCGGCTCAGCAGTCGTTTCAACTAGTCGGTCAATAAGAAGCTACGTTGTAGGGACGCCTTCTCCCCATCGTCGCGAACCTACTCGGACTAGTCGTGACTGGAGGGCTTGGTTGTCGCATGAGATCTCTGGTATGGAACTTACCAGTCAAGAAGATTTAAGAATTCATGATCGGTATACCACTCCACCAAAGAAAGTCAGACCAGATTCGAGCCGTACATCCCATACAGAACACGAGGACACGACGGTGGTTCTAAGGGGATCGCTCGATATTCCCACGCCGCGACCGCATGCCGGTGATAAAGATGAGACTACTGAATCGACTGTCACCCGCGCAGGAGATCTCAAGCGTCGCGATGACGATGGCGCACGTGTTGCGACGTCAGACGCGGAGAAGTCTTCGTCGCACATCGACACTCGCGACAGCAATCATACCCCACTTCGACAGATTGTTGATACTGAAAAGCTCATCATACACTCTCAGCCCGAATCGAGGTCTCTTTCAAACAGGCAGCACCTACTGTCAAAACCCGAAGGCCACGCATCTAGATCGCGCCCGGCTTTTGAAACGCCAGAATTGCCTTCAAGAAATGACCGGTTCTCTTTCCTTGATACTGGTCGGCGCTCCAGTAGCAACGTCCTGAAATCAGCCACCGAGACAAATGCGCCGGGCAGATCCCAATCCTCGCCCAAGTCCACGCCTGATCCCAAAGCTACCACCAATACATCTGCCCCAGCCACGAACGAAACTACACAGCGCGTACCAATCACTACCCTAAAGAGGAGCCCCGCGCGCAAGGAGAATGTCACTCCCCCATCCCTCCGCAGTCACAAAACCTCCGCTATCTCCCCGCTAGGTCTATCGACGCGACCAAATTCTCAGCAACTACTGTGTACGCCCCGCCGTAACTCACCCAGCACCAACGTTCACACCCTTGAAACACCATCGGCAAAGAAGAATGCCAGCTCAGCAGAGATAGTAACGCCCCTCCGTCCCCGTATCCGCGCAACATTACGGCCCATGTCACCCGAAAAACTCGCTCGTAGACCGCGAAGCGCCTTCGACCTCCGCGGCACCAACAACACAGGTCGTCCCGCCGTCATAGACATGGACAACTACTCTCCACTCCCTGGCTCAGAGCTCCGCCGTCCAGCACTAACACTGAAAACTTCGACCAGCTCGTTGGCCATGACCAAGGAACCGCATCCCGAGACGAGGGTTTCTGTTGGGCGAGGAATCGAGAGTGTGCTTGGTGGTGAAAGCCCTGGGAACGGAGGCAGGGATGGCAATGTAACACCAGGTCAGCGAATGGCAGACAAGTTCTTAAGGCAGAGGAAGAGCGAGAACGCATTGTCGCCGGGTGGAAGTGCGGGAAAGCAGAGTCTGAGGGGCGGCCTGGTGTTGGTTAGGGAGGATACGCCTGCGTTTTTGTGACCACACTGTTATGTAGAGATATGTGTATCGCGACAGGTATATGGCGATGGGACTCTTTGGATACACGTAAGATTGGAGATTCATGACATGGGGATGGGTAATTGGATGGGCTTGGATGGGATATGGGGGCTTTTGGGCGGTGTTGTTGATCGGTTGGCTACTTGGTATGGTATATGCCCGGTATTTTGTAGTTTTGCTGGTATCAATGCAGTTACATCTTTACAGGTTCACATCTCTATATGCACATCTTGAAAATTACATATACACAATAACAGGGTATTTTACTACAAAGGAAAAGCGCTGATGTTGAATCCCCCTCTTCTCTTCCTCCCATCCATCCCCTCATCCCACCACATCACAACAACTCCCCCTCCTCATCCAATCCCCCCTCATCCTCCTCTTCCTCGAAATCCATATCAGCCGCCGCCTCATCAGCCTTCCTCTGCACCTCCTTCAACCCACTCATCTCCTCGACCCACCCCCTCTCATTCAACGCCCTAGCCACAAACTCCCATGGATCCTTATTATACGCCTCGAGCACCCTATCGCTACACGCAGAGCAGCAGTCGTAAGGTTTGCCTTCGACTTGCAGGTTCGAGAAAGTGGATAGGTAGCCGCGTATTGTATGGGGTATCGTACCGAGGGGGTGTTGGAAGGGCGGTGGGAGTGCGGGATGTGAAGGTGCGGGTGTGGGGGGAGTGTTGTTTTTGGGTTGGACGGAGGGGGGTGCTGCGCGGGCTTGGGAGGGGTGTTGCAGGATGGACATGAGGAGTTCGACGAGGAGGGAGGAGGCGAGCGGGGCGACGCCGGGGCGGGTTACGGTGCATTGTTGGTCGAGGGTTGCGTTGCTTAGAGACTGTGTTGTCGGGGGTTAGCTGGGTAAAGTGGATAGAGGGATGTGTGGGTAGGATACTTACGTCTGCGGGTGCGACGACGTCGTTGCAGAAGTAACATCCTAGTTCTACTTCTCCGGCTCCTTCTCGCGTTGTCTTCAGCCCGTGACGCATGACTACGTAGGTATCGAAGCCTAGTGCAGCGTTGAGGACGATCTTCCCGTAGGCTTTGCCCATGACCGTTGGTAGCCATCTACTCTCTCGCGTGTCCATGAGCAGGAAGATGGCGTCGTGTTCGCTGATAAGCTTCTGTAGCTTCTCAAACTCGGCTTTTGTCTTCGCGCTATCGGTCATTGGGTGACCCAGCATCGGTACCTCCATGACGTGCCCTTGTGCATCGACGCCGGGGTATATCTCTTGCAGAGCCTCTGCCGCTCTTTCGGCCTTCTTTGCACCACCCTGTAGACAGTCGTTGAAGTTGAAGAGAGGCTGTCGTACGGGGTTGGAGAAGCTGACTGTGGCGTTGTCGATGAATGTGATCTTCCTGACACCCCATCCCATCAGCGTTCTTGAAACGTAGGTGCCTAGTGTCCCTGCTCCGAGCAGCAGACACTTGCAGTTTTTGATGACGTCCAGGTCGATGGTAGGAGCTATCCGCCACTTGATCAGCTTGAGGTTGAGGTCCACAGCCTGATCTGCCAGTTTGCGCTCGTCCATGTATTCAGAGAGGTCCACGTTGCGCGATGTCAGCTTGCCTGATTCTGTCCGTTCCCAGCCGGTTACTTTGGGTAACTTGGGTGTCTGTGGGCGAGTTTCTGGTGTTTCGGAAGTCGGCGCTGCCTCGGGTATTGGGTCTGATCGTAGTTGTAGGATCAACGAGTTGGAGTGGTCACGTCGTGTGTGGGTGTCGCGATAACACATGATTTGAGCGTCGTTTAGGTGCCACCGGTTTCGCATAAGCACGAGCAGGTTGCGAAGAGGCCAGCCTGGGTTAGTTTCGTATGTGGAGGGGTCGGCGAAACATATGAAGCGATCTTTGCTATCCACCTTGTCGAAGAAGCCCTTCTCGTAAGCCTCCAGTCTGCCTATAGACCATGTGTATCCAAATTCTTCCAAGGGTGAGACGGGCGTTTTCGGCCTCTCCTCCGGATCTCCGCCACCTTGTATGCGCTTGGCTAGGAAGAAGCCTCGTTGGCGGACGTCTGAGCTGTATCGCCACGTCTGCACCGCGTCTACCAAGTATGTAGTCTCCCTAGAGTGTAGCCTTGTCGCCTCCCCAATCTGCTTCCACGGTGGATCTGACTGTATGGCGGGGAAGCCAAAGTGGTATGTGAACTTGTACTTCTTGAGGTTGGCGAAGATGATGGCTGTGAAGGAGGAGAGGAGGGAGGGGCATTCGTATATCGAGCCGTCGTGGATGGCATCCCATATCTATGCCGCGTCAGTTATGATCGCAGGGGGGGATGATGGACGTACTGTTTGGGCGCATCGTTCGAGTATGGCGGCGCGATCGAGACTCTTGTAGTCTTCTATGGTGTTGCAGTTCTTGATGATGCCTTCGGCGCGGCAGAACGTTGGAGGGGTATCGTCTGATGTCAGCGCATTCGGGTGTATCTGTACTCGCATAGATCGCGACGAGTGCTCTCCAGGACGGACTTCGTACAGCCCGAGCACCTTGCGCGCGGAATCGTCGAGTTTGTCATGGTTGATTTTGATGTGCGCAAGTGCGGCATAGAACTGGACGTCGACATCACTCAGCCAGGGCGCAAACTTGAGGGTGGACATGGTGGGCGGTAATAGTATGTGGTGGGGTCGCGATGAGACGGAGTGAGGATGCGTGGCGAGGCGGAGATGTAGTATGCAGGGGATGTGTCCTAGCAGGCGATGATGATGGCAGTCATACGCAAAAGCAATACACGTGCAGCTGTCAAAGGCGCCTGCATGTGACAGTGAATGTCCCAGTGATGGTGAGGCAGCCGCACGCTTCACCCCGCGCGCCGTCATGGGTCCAGCCCTGAGGCCCTGGGCGAGGCCCCGCCACGCTAGACGCGTTCCTGCAGCCGACCACGCGCTTACCCGCTGTTAGCAATCCGAGATTCGATCCACGACTCCGCCCTTGCTGTTCTCTGGTTACAGCACATTTGGACGACATCTATCGCTATGCTTATTGGATTGTGCGGAGGCAAGCACCGTCCGAGATTACATGAGACGAGGCTGACAGGGCACAGGAATATGCGCGGGCAAGTCGTCGATAGCTTCGTACCTCGTTGAGGAGCACCAGTTCACCCGCCTACGCCTGGCCCGGACTGCTGAGACGCCTCCAGAAGAGAAGTCAGCTTCCAACACACGTGTCCCTTCGCCGGTCAAGTCGTCCGTAGACGCACAGCATACCTTCCCGAACATCGATTCGCTACTCGATTTCGTCACGCTGAGATGGAGAGAGCGATTCGTTACAACGGACATATGGGACGAAACGGTCGTTGATGCCCTCCTCAGGCGTCCTTTCTTCCTCCTCGTCAGCGTCGATGCGCCTGTCAGTGTGCGATGGCAGCGGTTCAAGGCCCGATGTGCTGCCACCGACCACACACCGCCTACTCTCGAGGAGTTCGTTCTACGCAATGACAAGCACTTGTTTGCTCCCAGAACAGGGCTAAGTGCCCTCTGTCAGAGAGCACAGCTGAAGCTACTCAACTCCTCGTCCGACATGGCTTCCCTGCGCAGTGCCATACTTTTCCTGGACCTCATGGACGAGGCCCGTGTACGCCCAAGCTGGGATCAATACTTTATGCAGTTGGCAGACCTGGCAGCACGCAGGAGCAACTGCATGAAGCGACGAGTCGGTTGCTGCATCGTACGGGAGAAGCGTGTGATTAGCACCGGGTACAACGGTACCCCACGTGGCATGACCAACTGCAACGAGGGCGGATGTACGTTCACACTTGGGAATCCCCACGACATAGACTGACAACATACAGGCCCCCGCTGCAACAACGCCGCACAGGGAGGTGTTGGTCTGTCCACCTGCCTCTGCCTGCACGCCGAAGAAAACGCCCTCCTCGAAGCCGGCCGCGACCGCATCGGCGAGAACGCCATCCTATACTGCAACACATGTCCTTGTTTGACCTGCAGCGTCAAGATAACACAAGTTGGTATCAGTGAGGTGGTCTATAACCAAGGCTACCTTGTGGACGACCAAACCGCTAAGATCTTTACTGAAAGCGGCGTCAAGCTGCGCCAGTTCTCGCCGCCTGCAGACGGACTTGTAGATCTGAGCATCGGCGTGGGCGCAGACAAACTGGAAGAAGACAAGGCAGAGGATGCTAGGGAGCTACTCGATGATATGAACTTCCTGCGACCTGTGGACAATTAGGACCAGCTATCAGGATAGACAAGCCAGATAGAAACCAAGCTGTCCGACCCGCATGTAGTCAGATGGGGAAGGCTGATGGCGGCGCGTGGTGGCGCGTGGCGTTGCTTAAGGCCAACGCCTCACGAGGTGCGACCGCATGTCAAAGGCCACTACATGTCTTGGGCAACGACATCATGCCAGTTCCGGCGCCTTCAGACCTTCTGTTGGTCGCCAATTGCGATGCGCATCGTTCCAACTTCGACAAGCTAGAGTTGGCGTTCGGGTACCGACGATGAAGGGATAGCTACAAGAAGGGCTGGCCATAGGACAGCCTTGCCGGGCAACACCGCCATGACCGCACACGCGAACGTCAGCAACGGTTCGGTTTGCCCGCGTGGCCCTTCTCATATTAACAACCTCAAAAACGCGCAACACTTATACTTTGCATTCGGCCCATGACGTTTGACCTTGAGTTCCGTAACTCGTGTTGCTGACTTCTCATTTCCCCGCCTCAACAGTACCCTGAAGTTTAACAAGCTTCGGCCCGCCTGGTCGGGTTGGAGTTGGGCCTGATGACGCGCCCACGCGGCGCGGTACCAACACCGTCACTATTACGGTCACCGCCATGCGATAGCAACATGAATCTTTCGTAATTCGCTTTACGAAGACATACCAACAAAATACCGCTTGTCGTCGTCCATGTACCTACGGTAGCCGTGCTATCGTCCGTCGATCCACCAGCTTGACCAAGCCTCGACAAGCATCCGCTTCCGAGGCTTACACTCTGAACTGGTCTGGGCACAATGAATGCGCTAAAC